AGGTCTGGAGCTTTAGTCTGTGAAATAGACGCTTTAATTGCTTGAATCTCTTGTAATATCTTAGCTATAGATGAATTTTCGTTACTACTGGTGATTTGGGTGTGGACTTTCGCGTTATTTAGGCCTCTGATTATTAGAATCGCCTCTGAAATAAATTTTTTGTAGGCTCTACTTGATAGCTCATCTCCTTCAACTGCTTTCTTGAACCTCTTTAAGGCTGTATCAGTATCCTGAGTCGCGTTCGACGCGTTGTTATCGTATCTGTTTCCTGTAAAAGGCTTCCTACTATGAGTATCCTTCTTTGGATTACTCTCCATCGCTACTAAAGCAAGGCTAGAACTTCACGGGGTTAAAATCGATGGGTGCAGATTTTTCAAAACAATGATGTTTTTTCGCACATTTGCAGACGTTACTAACTTATTAGTATCAGATTTTAAAGGAATACAGTTGCAATATTGAGTTGTTGGTTCGCAATACCCGATAAACATGCCACGTTGAGAGTTAGGTATAGGCTTAAACCGATATCGATCCTTATTATTGATCAGTGCATAACATTTACAGGCCCAAACTTTATGGTGGAAGATCTTTGGAGAACGACCATTCATCGATTCAAAAAACATTGCACTACTATAGCGCATCGTTAATCTATGTCGTAAGTGACAGGCTGTAGTAATGGCAGCGTCCCAGAATTTGCATGGTGAGCGGGCTCGATAAAGCATGTATCTAACCACTACAATAAGTGATAGATTCAGTTTCTCTGCTGCCTCATTTCAATACTGCGTATATGGAGTACTGATCTGCTGGGTTAATACATCAAAATTGGTCCTTTTATATTCCGAGCTACCGTCAAAGCGCACTGTTTTGATGGCCGGTCTAGACTTTCGTTCTTTTCTTTTCTTTCCTAACCGAAGATAATTTGGAATATCCAGAGTATCGGAGTGATTCAAATCAAGGTTTTCAGTAGGTAAAGAGAAAGGAGCAAGATTTGCTCTCCCCACTTGTTTGCTTGAGCTACTAACAGCACATTGTTTCAAATCCATCTTCTGGATATTTCTGTTTTGGATGTCTCTAGCCTGAAAATTTGGTATACCCAATCTTAGAGGGTTTATCCTTCTCGGGATCCGTGAATCTATATGAGCAAGGCGACAATGTAAAATATCAGTAACTGACTCCTGCGTTTTCTGTGATAGCTGTTTGATGGAACGAGGTGAAGAATGTGAAGGGGCAGTATACCAGGAAGAAGATGTATTAAAGCAGAATAATCCTAAATCCGATCTAGCAGTTGCAATAACTGATCCATTCCTTGATAACACGCTTAGTCCTCCGTTCACTGAATTAATACCTAATCCCTTTGGTAAAAGCTGAATTCCAGACACCAAGTTTCTCGTGCAAGAGGTGTTACGGTTTGACCGTGGTTTAGCTTAGGTGGAAACCTAAGCGGAGTTTGGGGGCGTATTAGGGAGAGTTTTACATATTATCTTGTATCAAGCGACTAAGTTTCACTTGGCCACATTACATTGGAGCTAGGAAGGAATGTGAGACGGCGAAGTATAATTGCCAAGTGAGAGAGTCAGCTAGATGGCAAAGATGACGACGGGCAGTGGCGGAGCAATATATCATTCTCACCAACATAGTACGTACTGGATGAGCTAGAAGGATGTACAAATAGTCATTGCCCGTAGTTGTGGTACTACTCTCTTCATATAGTTTAATCTTTCTAAAAGTACACTACAACCAGCTTGGTTTCGTCACAAGAGGGATCATTAAGAACGTTCTCCATAGTAATAATTTTAGTAGCTTTCTTGTTCTCCAATTCGAATACCCTAAACTGTACCTTTCAGGTAACAGAGACAGGAATCTGTCTGCCTGAGGCATCAAGAATGGATTTCTTGCTGATGGACATAGAAATGAACATGGACTTATCGTGATATACATGATGTGTTGCACCAGTGTCAAGTATAATATTATTCTTATTGGGGCCACTTGTTGACATTAATGAATGCTCCTCCATTATCCATACTCCAGCCTCAGATTCTTCATCATCACTAACGTGGTCGGATTCGACCTTTGCGGGCTTAAAACGATTAGCAGCTTTTGTACGCAACTTCATAACCTTGGTAGCCTTATTGGGATTTTTAGCCGCCTATTTAGATCCGTCAGGGGTATCAATCCGGTGAAAGCAGCTTTCGCATAAGTGGCCTCGGCGCTTACAGTGTGCACATCTTTTAACATCACTAGAATTGTCGGAGATTGTACTGAATTTACCGCCTAGGGCCACAACTGGTGTAGGGTGAAGATCGCGATATACTGCTTGAGAAGTACGTATTGATGATACTGCAGACTGCAGAGATATGGTTGGTTCTCGCAGTGAAATGACAGTCGACATGTAAAATCCTCCACAGCATTTAATGAAGTTGGTTAGTATCCGTTTCTTCATACTTGGATCGGAAGGCGCTGATATGCTGTTGGTCAAACAAATTTTAGATCGGATCTTAGACAACTTTTGCACGCATTCATTAACCTCGATATTATCTTCAAACGTTAGTCCCCGGTAATCCTGTAATAGGTCTTCCATGTCTTCAGTTGCGTTCGGACAGTAGAGCTGTTTAAGGTTATCCCAACAGGTTTTTGAAGAGTTAGAGAAATGAACGAGGTGAAATGCGATGTCGGATACAAGTTGGGATAAGGCAACTCGTATATTTCTATCTTGTCTTGAGATAAATAGGCCAGTCTCTGAGCTCTTTGTATCCTGCGTCTCAAGCTCAAATTTTGTCTCCAGAATAAAGCTATTAATGTCAAATAGAGATAAAGTATCAAGAAAATGAGTGCTCCATCTATTGTATGTAGATTTCTCCAAATTTGGAGCACCCTTGATCGACTTCAGTATTTGTGCAGCAGACATCGTGAGTTTCAGAAAATTGAAGTAACGTGTTAATAAATGAGGTATATTCGATCTAAGAACAACTTATCAATATAATTAATCAGCTTAGTTGACTAGAGCGTTGGTCTCATAATCTGTTAAAAATTGTCAAGGATTTCTAGGAGGAAATATCTCGAAGAACAAGTGTACAATTTCGGACAAGAATTTATTGATAGTTTTGTAGGATATCGAACTCTCTTCTCAATATGAATTGATAAATTCTTGTCCGAAATTGTACACTTGTTCTTCGAGATATTTCCTCCAAGAAATCCTTGACAATTTTTAACACCATTTCGTGCGTGCCAAAACATTTGTCACAATTTCTTGTTTAGTGCTGGCCCCAGCAGCGTTAACATTGCTCAATGGGGCGTCGACGATAAAATGGAACGGCAGGCCCACTCTCGTCGAATAGTCTAAACAGTAGATTGGCTGGTATCTATTTAAAATGTACGATTCAAATAGTGGAATACTGTCTTAATTTTATATCATTTGAGCGTGTCACGGTTTCAATACAAAACACATGGGCAATTTTGTTAGTACAGAATATTAATTTTAATTCTCTGAAGAGGGAATTCTTACAGCTAGACTACAAATATACATAAAATCAAAGATAATCCCCTTCTGTAGGGTTACCTGTATGACCAGAATTGTTTGGAAACTTCGACAACTCCCTAGAGGATTCTCGATACTCCTGTCATCCTCATGAACCTTCAGTATGCTTCCGGAAGGTTCATTGGGAGTCCTATAAGCTCCGTGTATTTCGAGATCCTTCCCGAAGATTCTCTTGGTGTTATTACCTACGCTAACTAGCGTAGGCTACAGGAATTGTTAGGTTTAACAGCCGTTGCAGGTCACGTCTATATCGTTGACTCCACAAACTGCCTGGCACTCCATCTTCACCATTTCCTAGGTTACTTCAATTCTTCTTCATCTACTGATATAGATTAGCATATGAGAGATCATGACTGATGTCCAATCTAACGAAGGCTCATTTACGATTTCCTCCTTTTGAAGCGAAGGACTAACTCAGAATCGATTCCCCGAGTGCGTCTGATGTACACTCCATTGCTAGACTAGATCAAACTTGTTTCATCACTGTAACTGATGAAGGTTTAACCCCAGCTTTCTCAATGATTATTTTCTTAGTTGCGACAGGTTATAGTGTCTGTCACTGATGTTCTCGCCCCATGCGAAGGAGAAGTCGCTAACTTCTTCTCTGGGCTCTTATTTAAATAGCTCTATCTGCACAATCAGCTTTCGTTTTACTGGGCTAGCTGGCGGGTCCGGAAGCTTGGTCACTTTCTGTGCCACTATGATCCAGGGGAGCATAGTCTCCTGTGGCTTTTCAGGCAGTTCATGAAGCAGTTTCTCGATTATTTTCGTCACTCTAAGCACTGAGGTTATTGTCTAAGTTCTCTCAGGGTTTGAGCTCTTGCATTATGTAATTGTGGCGTTGACGTTGCCTATCACAAACACTGTCTCGATGGTTGAAATATCTTCGATAAATTTTGCAACCAATAACGCAATTTCAGTTTCTGTCTTGAGTTTCGCCCAAGCATCGATATTTTGCAAAAATTACTGAGCTAGGCTCATTAGCTTCTTTCGGTCGCGTACTGATCGCTCCATTGCAGCAGCAATCCCTAAGGTCTCAAATTTAAGTATTCGCCTGGACCAATTGACGCCGAGGACAACAGCTGGTTATACATAGTGATACTGCTGCTTGATTTTGCGGGTTTGGATGTTGAATAGAGTTGCGCAGATGGGGTTATGGACGCGTCTTGCCCTATCCAGGTTTACACGTTAATTTTAAATAATAGCCTTGCTTTCAGCCCTGTCGAGATACTGCGCATCCATGAAATTGAAATAGAGATTGTTTTCGTTATGCAGCATCTTTGCAACCATCATATCCCCCAAAACCTGCTTAAAACTGTTAGGAGTTACACAGTGGTCGCATGCCCTTATTTCTCAAGGGACCTTCTCATTGGAAAAAAAAATAAAGTTTGTCTCTCCTGCCACCAGAAAGCAGCTCGTCAGTTTTGATTGAACCCCGTAAAAATCTGCCCATAATCAGGCTCGAAATATGCCTTTATCTAAGGATATTGAAGACGCAAAATTTAGTGGAGAAGATGAAGAAGTTGTCATGCTCGATCCCTCCGAAACAGCCGAGGAAATTACTACGGAGGGTGATGTTGCTATGGATAGTGGCTCTGAGGAAGATGGAAATGATGGCGACGAACATATCCAAGAAATATACCTTCAAAACGACTCCAGCGCATACTTTGACATGCACAAAGATAGCATCTTTTGTATCGCTCAGAACCCTCTATACCCAAATCTCATCGCAACCGGAGGAAGTGAAGGAGATGACGCTGAGGGTATAGGATATATCTTTGATGCAACCCCTGATCTATCCCCGGTGTTACCTGCAAGTTATCTGAGTGCACCAAATGAGACGCCCGAAAGAGCAGGGCTATCACCTATCTTTAAGCTGGAGGGACATACGGATTCCATCAATGCGCTAACATTCACAAAACCCAATGGTGACTTCTTGCTGAGTGCAGGTCTAGATGGGAAATTAAGGGCATACGCGATGAAAGATAAAAGATGGACTTTCATTGGTGAGGCGCAAGAAGTAGAAGAAATAAATTGGCTAGCAGCCTGCCCGAATCCAAATTTTCCTGACACAGTTGCGATGGGTGCAAGCGACGGGAGTGTATGGGTATTCTCAATTGATGCGAAGTCAAAAGAAGCACCACTATGCATAGTATGCAGTTTTTTCTTACATATGGCAAGCTGCACGGCTGGAAGCTGGTCTCCCGATGGAAAGTTACTTGCGACTGTAAGTGAGGAGGGTAGTTTATATGTGTGGGATGTCTTTGGAGACGGAGCTGCAGCAGGTGTGACTCAAGGGGATGGAGGATCATACGTTGTTGGCCTTACAGCGTCAGACCAGCGCTTTGCCATAGATGGAGGGCTCTTCAGTGTTGCTATATCACCAAACGGAACATTTCTTGCTGCAGGTGGTGCAGGTGGCTCTATTAAGATTGTGAGCATACCACGCTTGAGCTCTGAGACGTCAGCAACGGAAAAGCACGTCACCCAGCGAACTAAGAATGCAAAAACGATAGACGAAAATTCAAAGTCTTCTCTAACGATAGGACAAGCTGGGCAAATACTGGCTGATCTACAAGCTCAGACTGATGGTGTTGAGACATTGGCGTTTGCACCATTACCGCTGACCTTATTGGCTGCTGGCAGTGTCGATGGTAGTATCGTACTTTATGACTCGGCCCATCGATTCGCTGTGCGAAAACATATCAAAAATGCGCACGATGAACATAGTGTGGTCAAAGTAGACTTTGTGTCGCAGCCAGACAATAAATATATACTGACAAGCTGTGGTATGGATGGCGTTGTTCGAAGATGGGATTCTCGTGGCGGCAATAGTGCGGCCAATTCTGGACTTCTGCGGGAATGGAAGGGTCACCGAGGCAATGGCGAGGGCGGCGGAGTTCTTGATTTTGTGCAAGGAGATGGCACGAGAATTGTGACGGCGGGTGATGATGGTATCTCCCTGGTCTTTGATGCGTCCATGACATGAGACACTGCCGCTCATTTGCATGACTTTCCATCAAAACTTCTTCTCAATTCCACGCGCCTAGTCTATTTGGCATTAATATGCACAAACCATTGAGATTCCTTTGAGGGCCCCACCCAATAATTGAATCTTTTAAGACCTGAACGTGATGCTGAGCTGATACTGAACTCACACCAAGGTTTTCTGACAACCTGTGTCGAGTACCTCGCTTTAGTCTCTCTACACTCGCTCTCATTTACACATTAGATCTGTAAATGCAATAGCTATCCTGAATTCGCTAAACATCTAGCGCCCAACGCCTTGACCGATACCGTAATATCACAATGAATCCCGTACAGATTATTTAATTGTTAAAGTCGAACCTCAAATTTTCGCATAGGTCATACAAGAAGGGATATCTGCACATCTAACATATTATATGCCTTTCGTAAGTATATGGATTACTGCACCAGCATTGTTGTTATTGTCACTCCAGATTAGGCACTCAAATTCGAAGACAACGAACGCGTTTTCAAGTCCTCAGCTTGAAATCTATAGACTTGTTGCAAGATGGCGTACTTCATCCCACAAGAAGTATCCGGAGTCTATTCTCTTGTAGGCGATGTCGATCCTCGCCGGTTTTCGAATTTGCTACATCATGATATTACTATGTAAAAATCATAAACAATCACTGAGGGCCACAAAATCTTAATACCTATCCGTAGAACTTCACACGAATTTGGATATTGAAAATTATTGCACAGATAATTTAGGTCAAATCTCGCTACACTGAATTGGTTTGCCTACGCAGGATGACGAAGGTTGAATATCTGTTAGCGGTGTCTTTCACGAACCTGAGAGTGAAATATTATCTCAGAACTGAGTTTTAGTCATAAGCGAGGGTAGTATAAGTTATATTTGATGGATTTTCGGCTTTAAGCAATTGTACTCGGTATTTTGATCATAGTCGACAGAGATTGTACTACCTCAAGAAAGTCGAACATGTGGTCAAACCTACCAACCTATGATTGAGGAGTGGAACCAGGTCTATTTGAGGGTCGTGTTCAATCAACCGACATCTCTCCAAGTCCTAATGTATTTGCGGTGAAGTATTTCCCGGTCGATACTACACCTAAGATCTACCTCCACACTCATTGCACCGCCTACCAACACACGTCCTAAAGTGAAAAGTCATGATGGAAAAAGGACGTACACAATGGAGAAGAAGAGAGTATGTAATCCGAGGGTATCATACAAGTCTTCAGTAAAGACAGCAAACCAACGGAACGATGTGGAGCTTCCATATTAGGATAACGCTGGGATGAGGTTTATTGTGATTATATGGTAGTTAATCTGATCCAGCCCGTTATCACTCGTACTCAAGCTCTCATAGGAGTCTAGAGGGTGCTATTTTCCTAGCACTTTAAGAAACAAACAACCAACCAACATAAGGCACCATTCAAGAAATTCCCATCTTCCTATTTTCTCATCCTGTGGTCATTTCTGTACTTCAAGTCTCCAATTTTCAACCACCGCGAAGTCCTCGAAAATTCATCCGGTGATGATAACGCCCAACGTCGACAACTTCAGTTGGCTTTGAACAGACGCAATCGTGTCAAAAACAAACAGGCCTTGCGCAAAAGTTATCAAGAATGTTTGCGAGTGAGGCCTTCGTCCAAGGGCAGTCCATAAATCTTCCCAACAAAGAGATGACTAATTCCGGGCCTAATAGATCAGTAATAAATGGTCCCGAGATCAGCAAGCCCACCGAGCTGGCCACAGAAACAAACAGCTCCAGGTATTAGATTATGGTTCCTTTGGATGGATAGAACAGTGTAGCTGGAAGTAGATTCGATAAAGTATAGGGTTAAACAACCGTGTATTGTTCCTACAGTCTCAGCATTCCCTAAGAATGTTGCAGCCTAGCTCGTACCAACGTTCCACTACTAGGCTCATCTACACGCGAATATGGAACTACTAATACAGGGTATATAAGATCTCCAAACGCCTTACCCTTTTTACTCCTATGCAAATAATAATCACGGAGGGCAAGACTGAACACCTGTCAGTGGTGCTCTCTACGAACCTGGGAGTGAAATATTCTCCCAGAGCCAAGTTCAGTCAAATTTTGCAATACCGAACAAGTTGGCCTACGAGGCAATGATTCAAATAACTCCACGTCAAATTTTCATTCCAAAAAAGATCGAATCCTACCTAAGCCTCATCAAGTTTACAAGTACGACCTAGTACATCCTCATTCCAATGACCACACCTCTCGCCGACTTTCTCTGGCCTCAGCTGGTCACCAAATACACGTCCACGCCGATGTTTACACCCGACGGAGGAAGCAAAGCGTGGCGCACAAATCTGGGAGACAATTCTTTGGGATGGACGTGAGAGGATTCAGGACAAGTTCACAAGATGATGCGAAGGATGGATACAGTCTCGACGGGCGTGGAATTTTGGCAAGGAGTTTTTACAAATTGAGCTTTGTGCGTGCCAAGACTTCGGTTGCTAGAGTGCAGGCGACACTATAAACACTGCCATGGTTGGATGGTGCGGTGGTACATCGTCTCGGACGGTCTGCCAAGTAGAGTCTGGATAGCTTGGACACATATCCCACTTGAGACAGTAGATCGCTGGTTCGAATGCGGCAAAACACAATCACATTTCTCGCGGTGCTTGTGCACATGGATGACGAAGGCATGCTTGGGTAACCAAAGGTTTCGAAATTCCCTTTGGTGGGTACTAACGGAGGAGGGTCTATATCCTGTAGTGGTGTTTGCGAATGAAACCCAGAGTATGAGTGTCTCTAATGTCAAAAGAGTCATCCAACATGTATACATAGCACCGGTCATGTGTCATAGCTTTATAGCTGAATACACATTAAATGATTAAAAAAAAAATAACAACTATAACTCCATTATGTTAAGGTACAGGGATAATTGTGTTTGACCAACGCTCTAATAATTCAACACCACGGGATCCGGACCAAACAGTATTTCTTCCAAACTTGATTTCAGTTTTTGATTTATGTTTTTGATTTTAGTTTTGCTGTTATCTTCTACAATTTCAGTAGAAGTTCATGCGGTTGGAATGAGTTGGCCCTGTACGCAGTGATCCTTGCCGACTCCACCGGTCCTTGACCTAATGTGGAAAAGATAGCGTTAGCTTAGGACCAAAAGTATAAAAAAAAATATTCAACACCAGTTAAGGAAAGTGGGTCTTCATATTAAAGATGATAGAGCCTGCAGAACTATCTACACGAAAATTATCTATGCTAGCTGTTAAAGATCTAATCTGTCCATAACTCTGAGCTTGATGATGGCCAGCAAGACGAAGAATATCATGACCTGTCATTTAAGATAAAAGGGTGAAAAGGATATTAATTAGAAGATAGGACCGATATGGTAAGGAGTGATTAGCTCAGAGTATGTATGGGTACTGTGAATTTAGTCGGAAGCATCATGACATTAAAGAGGAGTCAAGTGCGCGATATATATATAAACGTGTTATATCCCTGTCACTAATTACCAGACCCCGCACTGCCACAAACACCATTAATCTCTGCTAGCCATCGCAATCCTGAATATTAATATGAGCTACTATTATACGGTATGTTTGTACGGCTCGACATCAAGATAGAAATTTTAACACCAGCTTTCAGCAACACAGCCTCAACTACAGCGATAAAATTTCTGCCAGAGCTGCGCACAGTAATGGAGGCCGGAAAGTGCCGCACAGCCCAAATTACGGCCCGCCTCACGATTTGCGACACAATGATTATTACTATTATTATTATTTTTTTTGCATCAGATTTTAATTGCGTATGCAGCTATCTAGCTATGACACAATATCAAAGAAAAGTACAGAATAGATGATTCAACGTAAGGGAAGAGCACTCATGCCTCAGATTTCATTTGCAAGTACCACTGCGAAGTTATGGTGGCTTTTTCTTCATCCCAAGTCAACCCTCATCCGCGAATACCCACCCAGGGGAACGTCTCAAAACCCTGAGTTATACAGACATGCCTCCATCTTTCAACTTTCCTCCACGCGAAATGTGATCTGAGATGTCTCCTTCCCAAGTGGAGTAGGTGCTCAGGCTACTCAGACTATACCGGAGAACACCACAAGGAGGCGGGCCACAACACCTTCCATCGTTTGCTTGTTTTTATAAGACATTACGATTAGTAGTGTCGAAGCAGCACTTTCACCTCTTTCGATTGGTGAGAGTACAGAGTTTGTAGACGGCATTATAGTCTACCTTTGAGCGTCCATCGGCCAGTTCATACAATACGGCTCAGTGACAACGCTACCAGCTCCCCCTGCTGGTCCCAGAAACCCTCTTCCGTCGAGGGCTCCAGAAATAAGGGTTCAAAACTCTTCGATAACCCAGGCTCCGGCCTTATTAACCACTCGGGCTACAGTAGCTCGAGCAGGCCTAAGTCTCAGCGCCGGGATATCCACAAAAGTCACGGCAGCACTGCCCGCCCAGAAAGCAAATGGTGTCAGTCCGAGGACAAAATTCGATGCGCGACTCTTTCTATGCCTGAAACCCAGCAATAAATATCTAATACTATCACCGTATGGCATATGATCAGCCGTATCGCAGGCTTTCGATACTTCTGCCAACGATGTCATATTGGTTCTGCGGATCAAAAACGGCTTTGCACTTACAGCAAAAATGAACTTTCTCGGAAAAAGCTCCTGGATGCCTCCGCCCTACGGAGGGAATCCAGCATAAATTTGGAACCAGCATCAAATCTGGTTGCTATGCAAATTATCACCATCCCAGTGACGATTCAATCTTTTGCAGGCCCCATCACCACGACAGCATAGATGGTTGCCTACAAAGTCACGCGAGTGACAAAATCAGTTCCATCTCTAGTTCGGCTCCATGGGAACTGCAGACCTGGAGCGCTTTACTAGAATTTGAAAGCAATCTTCCCTCGCAAATCTATATTCCGCCTCTTCAGCAACTCTGGAGTTTCAAAGCTCTTTGGACTTCATCGGTAAGTTGAATAACGCAAACACTGTCTTGGCTTTCGCAACTCCCACAAATTTTCACGCGCTTCAGCTTGCTGGAATTGCGGATCAACGATGCACATAGAAGCCGAATGCAAGGCCTTCATATGATGTCGCAAATTTGGGGGACGTCAGCGATTGGATTCTCGGGACTGCTACGCTAGAACTAGAATGTCCGGAAGGATAAACAAAGAGGAGCTCGCAGCGATTCGTGGGGTCGAGTAGACGAGGATCTCACAAGTGGTCCGCGCGATAGTTGCGGTCAAAAGAGCTGTAAAGGCAATTATCACATTTACAATGGACATCTCCACTACGGAGGGTTCGGGCTTCGGAATTCGGGAGTCTGCAGAAGAAGCATGAAGGTGCAGCAGCACTTACTAAAGTCTACGAAGACTTCAATCATACAGAACATACAATGGAAGTCGGTTATGAGGATCTCATGTGGACTTAAATCTCAGATCTAGAGTAAGTGAAATAGTAGTTGGGTTTTGGGTGCCACAAATGCTAAGAAAACCTAAACTCCATATACCCACCTGTGAACAAGTATCCCATGCGCAAAGTTATAGTTTGGTGCCTTCAGCTCTCCGTAAAACCTTTTCGTTATCCTTAAGAAGTCTTCGTAGAATCTTGCCAGTCGGATTTTTAGGTATTACTTCAACGAACGCCACTCCTCCGGTTAACCACTTATGCTTGGATTTGTGCCCTTGTACAAACTTGCAAATATCACTTTTCAGTGTTTCATCTTCAACACTTTGAGATGATGGTGACTTGACTATAAAAGCCTTTGGAACCTCGCCTACGACCCCATTAGGTATACCAATAACCGCACAGTCTGCGACTGAAGGGTGTGATAAGAGATGCGCCTCTAACTCGGCCGGTGCAACTTGCAAACCCTTTCATAATGTTAGATAAAATACTGCAATTTATCAATGGGGGTAATCTTACGTTGACCTTTATCAGTTCTTTAATTCGCTCTTGGATGTAGATATGCTCATTACCACCTGGGCTTCTTCGAACTACGGCCTCATCTCCAGTTCGAAGCCAATGTCCTTTGCCATCATGTTCGTCAACAAACGTTTCTTTGTTGGCTTTTTCATTATTTAAGTACCCTAGTACTACACTCGGTGATTGAACTAAAAGCTCGCCTGGTGTGTCGTAGTCGGTTATCTCAGTATTATCACCTGACATTAGCTTGACAGCAACACCCGGAAGAAGTGAACCGCTTGAGCCAAAGATTACATCGTCTTCTGATGTATTACAGACTATTGGAGACGTCTCAGTTAAGCCGTAACCTTGACGTATCACCCAGGACGGGAAAATTTTCTGAAGCTCTTGTGCAACCGCAGCACTGAGAGGCGCAGCCCCTGAAAAAACTGTCTTTACAGAACTCATATCATACTTTACGACTAGCTGTGGATTTTTGGTTATCTGGATAATTATGGGTGGAACCTGTAGAATTTGCGTCAGAGCTTTTGTGGTCTGACATAATTTTCTGACCAACTTACCAGGTACAGACTCTCGATTTTATACTGTTGAATAGAGTTGAAAAATGATGTGAGCTCATATTTGGGTAGTATTATCACAGCATCTCCACGCCAAGTGGATGCCTTAGCAATAGTTACTAACCCATAAATGTGACTCATGGGTAGTAAACCCAGTGCCACTTCTGAGCCTCGTCCTGAACGTTTATCTCTGCTGGGTTTATCGTAAGCTGCAACTTGAAGTACGTTGGCAATGACGTTTCTGTGGCTAATCATAACACCTTTCTAGGTCGGATGTTAGTTGTGACCTACGAGCACTCATCCCTACTGACCGGAAGGCCTGACGTGCCACTTGAAAAGCAAATGTAGGCAACTTGCCTAGCACCTTGACCTTTTTGCCAAGATAAGGCCTCTAATGGAGGTAGACTTGATCCCTCTGCTATTAAATCCCATACAGTGCGAAAGGGAACTTTCCGTGTTCCCGAGAATTGCTTGGGCAGCTCCAGGATGTAAACCCGCGACTGAGGTATGCCGGCTCCTCTAGCGGCCTTCAAGGCCGTCTCCAGTAATGGTATACACTATTTTATCAATCAGAATATCGCTGTTCTTAGAAATATCATTTTTAGCTCACTGTGAAAAGTGCCTTGGCTCCCGATGACTTGAGCTGATATTCAAGCTCAGAATGTGAGCTTGCTGCGCTAGCGGGAGCAGCGATACCTGACAATCGGTGAACGGCGTAGGCCAGGATCATGAAATCAAGGGTATTCAGCGAATATATGCCTACAATCTTATCCCATTCTGAGCCTCTGTTGGGCTGCCATAGGAAGTTATTTGAAAGAGCTCGGGCTAAATGTTCAACATGGGATTTCATCTCCAGCGTAGTATATGTTCTGCCAGTCAGGCCGCAGGTGAAAGGATTCTTCGATTCTTTGAGGGGACATCTTCCATATGTTTCCTCAAACATGAATTGCGGAATTGATATAGAATCTGGAATTTCTATAACTCCTTGGGTTAGTCCACTCTATAGAAGGATAAGAACTATCACCTGAGAGCTGGGGGGGCCAGGCTGGGGGTAAGAACACCATGTCTGCAAAGAATGAATTGTCACCAATGTGATGGCAAAATTTATAAGGCCTTAGCTTGAGTCGGGCTTGTAGCGCTTATATAGTTCCATGCTAGTGACAGTAGTCTCTGAGAACTTAGCAAAAAATTAGACTCGAATACTAGCTGTTCCAATGATTGTTGAGCTGAACTTAATCCATATCCTCACAACCAGTGAGATGGATCGACTAATCAATCTACCGCACGGCTAATGGAAATAATACACTCAGCTAAAATGTGGTATGGCTGGCATGACGCCAAGTACAAACTGGTTAATTATTGGTGCACTTGCCTTGCTATCACCTTGGAAGCTGAGGATTGTGCGTGCATAATTAGGCCGGCGTTGTCAAAACACTGTTGAGCCAGACCGGATGTGGGAAACCTTCTCAGAGACAGAGTGCTGATTCGGTAATCCATAATTTGAACTCGCTTTCCATTCACACCCTCTAACAACAGCAGTCGTTACCAGTTACCCGAAAAAATACCTGCATCAAACCTGCATTCGCATCCCGACGGGCATTATGCGGTAGATCTCCAACCTTAAACAGGGCTAGAGCTAGGATTAAGGTCTGGGCCATTCCTTGTCCGTCCTAATCGCGTCTTTGCCCGGGAAACTGGGACCACTCTTACTTGTAGTCTATTCGGACCCATGATACAAGACCACAAGTAACATTTGGGTGAGGTCAAAAGTCTAGCTGCTCATGCTTATCCTCTCAAGAGCCAAGGACCAATCAACAATCTCAATTAATTTTTTCAATAGGCCTAAGCCTGTGCGGAAATCCTTTGCCCACTGCCTACCACCTAAGTAAGGTCTTGTCCCGTGATTTAACGTTTATATGCCTGCTTCACAGCTCCAATCCAACAGTTCCATCTTTTACAAGACCTCATCTGATCATCCACTAAGGATACTTTTGCTCTCTCCAGCAAACGAAACGAAGGCCATCTACCGGCATATGGAAACCGGGAAAAATCGCAAAACCCACCTAGTGCGCAGCTCTCCTAACAACGATAATAGGACCTAATTCAAAGACATTTCTGCCCATCTGAAGAGACAGGCTAGCTGGGCGCCACAGACCTATGTGTACCTAAGGAAATCCAATCTCTACGATTCCAGCCTCCTTAGTCTTTCACGGAAATCATGATAAACTGCCTGAAATTTCTTGAAAGTGTGCTTGCCTATTAATAACTTAGCTCAACTACATTGTGCCATAAACCATAGCAAGGAGTTTTGTAGACTCATAGAAATGAGAGTTACCACTAGCCAATCTTGGACCAATCCACAACTCTACAAGCCTTTTGATGAAAGCTTGAAATCTGCAGAGGATACCGCTGGGATGTGAAGTTTTTGTACCTTGATCTCTCCCTACCACTGCTCTTTAATCGCGACCCTATCGACGCTTTACTGTGGTCAATACAATTATCCATTGAAGCCCGTCCATGACTCTAGCAACAGAATTTGGCTGTACTATGTTGAAGTGTCGCTGGACAGTAAGTAATATAGCGCCGAAGGTACATATGCAACTTGTGTGCTATCTATAGACTCGGCTGCTCCCGCTCCTGAGCAACAGACTCAAGAGCACCAAGTTCAAACATTTCAGGCAGTTGATAGGAGTAGTGTCGTAGAAAATCGGAGGACGGCTCACACTTTAAATGGACGCAGCAACTATCACTGAAGAAAAGTAGACCGGCAATATGTGAGCGCTGATATCTATTCGCACTTTTTGACGTTGATAGGACCGTATATCTTGCCCATCTGGAGCTTGCGACCTAAATTTACGTGTCCACTGAGCTATTGATACTTTGACGTACACTTAGGCTTACAGAATATGTAGAGTCCGATCAGCTGTCTACCGTCTACTGTGGAGGAAGGAAAACAGAGGGAACTCGGTAGTGACTGAATAATTGTTTCAACGAAGAAAACTATCCATGTAGGGCGTGATGACATGTTATGGTGATGCAAAGCTAAAGCTGAACGGAATGGAACGGATGGGATAAATTAGAGATTGGTAAGATGGCTGAGTCTGTAGAAACTTGCGCCTCGGCGCATAAAAAACGGCTCCTCTTGACGGTCGGGCTTGACATGATGCAACACTTGGGTGTAGTATGCAATGCTCCAGCCACGCACAAGGGATGAGATTTGTCTACTTCATGGTAGTTCACCACATCTAGCCTGGCCCGGCCCGTGCTCAAGCTTCAGCAGGAGTGAGATGGACTCCATGTTACAGTGCCTCTAGGTTGGAAAAGGTAAAACTTCAAACTGGGTTGTTGAAGGGATTAGCCCTGTAGGCTTATTTGGGCTAGCTCGTAATAGGTTAGTACGTCCCTCCTCCTTACCCCGCTCGCCATGAAGTATGGTCCAATCATCTTCTTCCAACATTGGGTTACAAAAACACATATTCAACAACATTTTTCGCTGCCCAACCTGCACAGTCCTCGAATCCTAACACCACTATCAATTCATCCCCTAATCTAGCAAACAATGCCTCTCGAAAAGCCTGCCTCAGAAACTGAAGTTCGCAAGCGTCTAACTCGCGATCAATGTATTGAAATAAGAGCATTAAGAAGACTTGGCCTGACATTACAACATATATCCGACGAACTTAGCTTCACAAGAAGGCAAGTGCAACTTACGTGTGCTCGAGAGACAGAGAATCCTAAACCTCGCAAAAGATGCTTATCTAAATTAAGCGCGGAATAAGTTGATGAGCTTGAGGCTTTCGTCCGGGGATCTCCTGAAAATCGACAGATGTGCTATTTGGAACTAGTGATTGGGCCCTTCAGCCACTGGCGATGCAGTAAAAGTTTAATTTCAAATGCCCTCAATAAAATAGATTGTAGCAGATGCATTGCTCGGAAGAAGCTTCCGTTAAGTGTGGTTAACATGCACGAAAGATGTATAGCGGTGATAGAGGAAAATTGAGGGCTCACAAAGTATTGGGTTGGAGCAGAATTATACAAAACATGAAGCATGCTTTCATTTTAGTTGCGAGCCATACTGAGGGTTTCTGTGTAAACTCTTGTAATACAGAGCAATTATTTTTGAAATAGATGTGTATTTATAGATAATATCAATTGATTTTTTTAATTTTTAGTTTAAATAAGGACCATTGTACATATTTTTTGGTGTTGAAAACCGTCCCCATTAATATTTACTTTCACGGAATATGGTTGGATAGTACCCCTACTTGCAAAACTAGTCGACGAACTAGACATGGGCCTGCATGAAGGCTAAACCACTCTAATCAATATGTACAGAGATCTAACTCCAGTCATTTTGACAATTGTACTTTTGATACTCTTAAGAGACTGTATTACACTCGAGGAATGGTAGACTGTTAGGCCTAAGCTCGCGCAGCGGCTATATACAAGATGGCAAAGGCATTTTAGGGATGCCAAAGGTTTTTCCTGTTTTCCCTTTGGAGGATATTATCGGTTTAGGGAAGGGTGAAAGTCCCTAGCACAGAGGTCGAGTGGTATCAGCGAATGCACCCATTACATGAGTAGTCCAAATTTCAAACTGAGTTATCGTCATATATAGTCGCCGAGGAAGCTAGTCTTCTCCGTGTCATGCTCTTTGAGTGAGTAATTGTTTATTGTCCTAAAAAGTCTATAACTATGTAAGGACATGTAGGTCCTTTCTGCCTACAGGCCGGGAGTATCTATGCCTCCTTCACGACTTCTTTCCAGCAGTAATACCTCCACAGGTCTTCATTCGAGTACGCACTAAGAGGAGCCGTTATCCCGTCATTATCTCCCCTCTCCAGCCAACGAAACGATGGTCATTTGCGGGTATGTAGCTGCAGGGAAAAGTCTCAAAAACCACTGGGTACGGGGCTCCCCTATCACGAAGAGGCCGGCCAGCCGGACGCAGCAGACCTGTGTATACCTAACAGCGTCTCTCAATCTTCCTAGCCTCCTCCTTACTCCTCCCCTGATTCATGCCGCAGGACAAAACGAAGGTCGTGAAAGCATGTCAGAAAAGTCTTGGTCGAGAGTGACTGTCGTGAAGGAACCTAGCCTGGCACCCAAAAGTCGTTACGGACGTGGGGTCGTCTAGTAACTTATGTATTTCAGATGCCCTCCTGGCTAGTAGATTCGGAGGTGTAGATTAGTCGCGACGATATTTTTGACGAGTCGAAACCTGATTTGCTTGAGGGCGAAAGTGTCTTTTACTTTGCTTTCGTGGGCTTTTTGTTCATCCGCCGGTGGGTAGCCCATGATGTGACATAACAATGGCTTCTCTGACTACCGTTGTAGCGTTTGGTACCGCATTATCTCTCCTCATTCCCAGCATCATTATCGTCGTCTTTGTCGTCTTATTTGTTATCGGAAGCGTATCTTTGACGGAGGGGGAGATAACTCAGCTCAAAGTTGATAAGGTGTTACTCAATCTCGGCTCTGCAGACTCTACAGTGAGAGCTGGAGGTTCGTAGGGGACGCCACTGACAGGTGCTGAAAATAGCCCCCCTCATGCTCTTTGAGTGCAGAGCTTGTGCCCGTCAAGAATAAATTTTCATCATCATCATCATTATAAGGAAAGAACACTGAGAGACTAGCTCGACCACCGTAGCGCAGAATACATTATTCTTCCCTAGTACGTAGTTAGTAGGATACTTAGTTCACACACACACCTGCATTCATATACCCACGTACTCTTATATTAACTTCTCCCATTCATTACGTGAGATACTCATCGCGTCTCTTAAAGCCCACATACGTGCTATAGACAGTACTTCACCTCAAGTATCACAATTATACCCCATGACATATAACCACAAGCTGCATACACTTAATAATTTAAAAAAAAACGTATAACCACAATACTTCAAACATCTGCAGATTCCGAAACTTGGAGAGCAGGCGCATTTTACCAATGTAGAGAGTCTGGACGGCAAAAACTGAGTTTTCAAGGCTCACCATTCTTCCTACACCGTAACCTGACAAGGGCCCAAAGCAGTTTGGCAATGCAAATACGAAGTGAGCA